CGGCGCCGCGCATCAATGAGCGCAGTCCGCGCATATCCTGCGCCTGCCCAACGGGCCTTAAACTTATGTCCGATGGTCTCATGTGTGTCGAAGATCGTGAGTATCCTCGAGTTGGGAACTATTCTTCTCTCGTTTTCTTTATTCTGCATGCCCTCTTTATTAACACCTTTTATTTTTCCTATATTAACCCTCTTCTTAACCCGATGCATGTGCAGCCAGTTTTCGAGTTGTTACCAAGCCGCCGCGAGCTCAAAGATTTAAGACCAAAACGAAACCGCTTCAGCGACTACCCAACTTTAGTGATAAGCGTATCCATGTACTAACCGAAACCAATCAGGCAATGCCATTACGCAACAGCTTGCCACAGACACAGGCAGCCCTTGGTATGCCTGACAACTCTGTGTTTCTTACGCTATTTATCAACATGTTATGGGTCCGTGGGTTGTGTCGCTTCTGTGTGTTATGTCTGTCTGTATATGTATATTTATGTCTATATTTGTTATACTTATTATCTGTCATTAATTCGCTTAGGATTAGAATCCATATTCTAAGGTCCATGTCAAATTTATCAACCACATTGCAAAGTTCGTTTTTATGTGAATGAATATGAACATGAACATGAACATGAACATGAACATGAACATGAACATGAACATGAACATGAACATGAACATGAACATGAACATGAATATGAATATGAATATGAATATGAATATGAATATGAATATGAATATGAATATGAATATGAATATGAATATGAATATGAATATGAATATGAATATGAATATGAATATGAATATGAATATGAATATGAATATGAATATGAATATGAATATGAATATGAATATGAATATGAATATGAATATGAATATGAATATGAATATGAATATGAATATGAATATGAATATGAATATGAATATGAATATGAATATGAATATGAATATGAATATGAATATGAATATGAATATGAATATGAATATGAATATGAATATGAATATGAATATGAATATGAATATGAATATGAATATGAATATGAATATGAATATGAATATGAATATGATTTCGGTCAGCTATATTAAATCCATTTACAATCACTTTACTCACTGCCCAGCAGATGCTCTTTAAATCCTGTCATCTCTCTCAATGTTGCGTTTTGATCTTAAGTATTTACGTATCTACCATTAGTTAGTGTTAAAAGTTAAAGCTAAGACTGAAAGCAAACGATATTAATCACAAGCATTTTTAGCCAATGCACTGAGCTGTTGCCACAGTCGACAGCTTTGCGCCGCATTTCCACTGGGGGGTTGCTGATGGTGCTGGTTGCTCGGGTTGCATTGGCTAGTTGTCATTTTTCAGCCAAGCACTTCATTTGCCGCTCTGGCATAACATTTGCTTTGTCATGGCTCACATTAATCATCATCAAAAAGGCAACCTCAGCTCACTCCCCCGGCCAGGCATGACAGTTTCATAAACGCCATCGAGAGACACTTGCAACACAAACAGGCAAACCGCAAGTAGGCAGCGCAAATGGGCGTACATTGCAACTGATATCAGAGACAAGGCAATCGGTCGAGCCAAGCCAGGCAAACAAGCCACCCACTCAAGCCAAGCCAACCGCAAAGTATGAGGTTAATATTTGTGCGGAGCTGACTGGTTGCTCGCTCGGTTAGCCTCTTTAAAGTGAAATTCTAGATACTGTTGATAGCTTTTGCTGTTTGACTTGATTTAAGGATTCAACTTGGAATCGGAGTGTGGAGCATCCGTGAGTTAGTATCAGAAGCCGAATCCATTAAACGGCGTGCGCGTTAACGATGTCATTACGCATCCTCCTACGCCATTTAAGTTGCCCGCTGTGTCATTCCAGCTGCCACTCTGCGAACCCCCCGTTTAGCTGTGCTTTCTCTTTTAGATCTTCCGCCCGGGCTGGGTATAAAAGTTTATCCATCAAAGGCGCGAGCGCGTTTAAGTGTTTATTTGCGCCTAAATGCGCACTTTGAACGATTTGATTGAAAATTCTTTGGCAAAGGCTGGGGGAATTCTGGGTGGTTGGGTGTGAATAACATTCGCGTATTGCCGAAATGGCACTCAACAGCGCGGGCTTTGCCTCGTATATTACACAATTTTTTATTTCCATTTTCTTGTTTTTTTTTCTTTCTTTCTTCTTCTGCTCATTTCATTTGGCGCCTTTTATTGTTGTATTTCGTTTTGCGCTCTTTTATGTGTGTCGCATTTATACGTGTTTTTTTTTTTTTGTTTGTCTTCTGTTTTCTTATGTGATTTACATTCTATTTAATCTCATCCGGCTTGCACTTCAATTCACAGTTGCCGAACGGCGTCCCGTGAAGAACCAAACACACATCGATCAAACCACAGCGCCCAGCCCGCAGCCGGACTCGGGCTTCATAGCGCTCGTGGTAATAGCCAGTCTCAGTGGTTGTGCAGTGCTTCTATCGGTGGTAAGTTTTTAAATTACAAAGACTCGCAAAGAAGTCATGGAAAGAGCCAAACACTTTTGTACATTTTTATTTTCAAGTATAAAAATATGGAGTATACCAATATTTTTTATATATTTTGAAAATGTTCGTATTCATAGGTATTCATAGAAATATAATAGAAAAAAAAATATATCATATTTTTTTGATTTGTAATCCTAGATACTTTCATTATTAAATTTAAATTGAAGAATATCTTAAAAACAATAATTATTTGAGCTCATTAATATATGAGATTTTTCCAATCACAAGACATTTTAAAAAACATATATAATTCTCAAAAAATTCGAAATTCAAGTACTATCTGAGATGCTGAATATATCTGATTTTCCGTACATCTAGACACTATATAATCATAACACAACTGTTTTTCCCCTCATTTGCTCGACCTATAGGTCCTGCTCCTTGGCTATCGGTACTGCAGCAAGCGACGCATCAATTCCATGAACTTTGAGAATCCCATTTATCGCAAAACCACAACTGAGGATCATTTCAGTTTGCGCAAGAATCTAACCGCACGTATCTACGATCACACCAGCGTAATGGATGAGGAGGTAATATAACTTTACCCAGTCTAACCCAAACAATTCATAATGCTTCTTCTTTGTTTATTCTCTCTAGTACTCACCCGTCATAGGCATATCGTCGTATTAGAGCTTTTGGGTTTACTGTATCTGTTCTAAGTTTAGATGCAAAATATAAGCCCGCAGCAGACACGCCTAAAGACTGAGCAACTCGTATGTGTAAATTATTTTAACATTATTTTAACAGCGGGTCATTTTGAAAAAATAAGAAAAAAAAAAGTGAGAGAGAGAATCCTTAAAGGATGCTGTACAAAATACGTCGCTGAGTTCTAACTTAAAACATAAACTAATACTAAAGCTATAACTAAACTAACTAAAAGAAGCCCTAAAGATAATTCGCATAGTTCCAAACTGTATATAGCTTAAGTGTGCATTACTTAATTAAAAAAAAAAAAAGAAAAGAAAATGGAAAATTTAAGAAAATAATAATATTATCTTTAATAATTAGAAAGAGTTGAAACTTTATTTCTGTTTAAAGTGCAGATCGTTTATTATTATAATTATCAATATTATTATATACTATTGTTAAGTGTACATATGTTTCCAAGTCAAGACGATTGAATAAATACATATATAAATATGTGTAGCAACAAAATTGTTTATTTATTACAAAAATCTTTAAGAAATTTTTTAATTTACAGATTTCCATATGAAGGATGGACATGTTGCTGAAAGATTTGAAATCGTATTCGAATCTTTTTAAACTTATCTGACAGCATTCAATCGTTAAATCGGTCTTTGAGTCCATTAGATTTGCCAAACTTTTTGAAGTTCCAGCAAATGCTTTTTAAATGCTTAGAAAGTCAAAAAAAAAACAAGAATAATTCAAATGATTTAGCATAACGATTTGACCGGTTAGATAGAGGCCCCTCTTTATCGTATGCCGTTGGTTTATTTAATTTGATATCAGTTAGTATTACAGCACAAAGGCCACTTATCTGACGTACATAATACTCAACCTATTTATGAAGTACATAGTTATCAAGGTTTCCAGCTACTAAAAACACGCAATTCGTGTGTGTTCCCAGACACCTTTTCGCATTTGTAAATATGTTAACCGTTGTTTAGCATTTTCGAATTTTTATGCGATATGCAAATCGGAACACAGCGTCGAAATACGTTTGGGAACTTAGGGTTAAATGTTGCAATTCCGTATGTTAATGCTTTTACTGTATTGCCTGCTAATAGTGCTTAGAAATTCTTGAGATGCCAAGGAAAATAGAAACTATCGTATCTATATAGTTCTAAGTTCTTTCATAGAAAGAAAAAAACTGAAATTTTTAATGCAAATATTTCTTGCGAGTGCTAAATAATATGGCAAATATTCGTCTCATCTTGACATTGACTCATTTAAAAAAGTTCCAGTTGCTTCTAGTAGTAGCAATACGTTGGCTTTTTATATTTTTGATCACCCATTCAATTAACATACTATGCATGTCATGGTCTCTGACCTATGCCAAGAACCAATTTAAGCGAACAGCATTACAAAAAGAAAATTGGTTGTCATAGGTAATTGCTAGACCCAACCGACAACTGTTCGTTCGACCAGACGCAATTCAAGTACACACCTCCAAAATAACGTTCGTGCTAAGCGTTACTTAAGAGAATTTTACAAAGAGTATTTACAACCACCTTACAACTCTTAACATTAGCTCTTCTCATTTCGCTGGCACACTTTTGCTGTCGCTCTCATTCTCACTCTCTCGCTCTCTTATTTATACAGTTAATGCATGCGAGCAAATGTCAAAACTTTTGCCGCGTGGCGATCGTGTATCGCAACGTCGTGTTTGCGTGCGATTGCGCTGGATGAGGGGGGGGGGGGGGGGGGGGGGTCATAGCCGAATCCAAAAGCGAAGCGAACGCAGTGGAACGCTTCGTTGACTGCGGCCTCGCATTGGTAGATCAGTCGTTAAACGTCGTGCGTTGGGCGCAGTCGTATTGTTGTTACTGGAAATATTGCCGGACCGTTACGCAGCTGCAGAGCTTACAAAATATAATATTCTTCGTACGAAAACTAGGAGCTCCCCCCCAAAAAGCAAACATAAATAAGAAAATATTTGTTGTAAGCCCAACGATAACAAAAAAAAAAAAAAAAAGATAGAGGTAGAGAGCGGCGCATAACCGTACGTCAAATTTAAAAATCAAGTGTTAATTGCAAACGTCTGAATTTATTCAGCTGAATTGCGTGAATCTCGCATAACTGTATGGCATATCCGATATATACGGAACACGTGTAGTTCGAGGCCGCATTTTGCATTTTCCGCTGACTTTGCCAAAAAAAAATAATAATAAAATAAAATAATTTAAATGTTCACTCTTGCCAAAATAGCTAGTTTTAATTTTCTCTAAAATTAGAACAGTTTACGTCTAAAATTTTCACATCAGTCTGAACGAAACCCATTGGGCAATACCCAAAGAGAGGTACTTGAGTTCAAGTAGTGGTAGCGCCATTCCCAGAACCACAAAAAAAAAAAAAACTAACTGTGATTCACTTGGCAGTGTGCTTATAAGTGCGATCTATTCATCTGTAAGCCAATCAGCATGACAAGTCCAAAGTTTCTTGTTTTATGTTTAGGGTTTACCTTGTAAAACCTGCGCTAACCGAGCTGACCGCAGCGGGCAGCCTGAAGAAGTCGTCGCCCCTATATTTTGCAACCTTTGTGCTGTTGTTTTTTCTATACCTAACACTAACAAGGGCTAAGCGGGCTTTCACTAAACAAAAGTAAAGAATTATAATTTGTAATCCATAATAACTTATAATTTCACACATTTTTTTAAATTCCACTCTTTTTCCACATTTTTTCAATTCGCCTTTTATAGGGTTTGCCTTAGCAGGGCATACTCTGCCGTTGAATTCTTGCATGTTTTCTTTATTTCGACTTTCTGCAACATCGTATGATATTTTTTATTTTTTTTTTTTTTTAGTCTGTTCCGCATGTTTCTTTTGCTCTTTTACGCTCTTCTGTTTTGTTTTGTCTTCACGATCTCCGAAATATATCATGGCGTTTGGCTCTCTGTATGATATTTCTTTTTTTTTATTATTTTTTTGGCAAGAGTTTTATTTTTGTTGGCAAAGTTGGCATTTATTCTCGCGTTAAAACAGCTGACGCGGTCGTCAGGCTATTATTTAATAATGAATAATATGTATCTAGAGAAAATTGCGTGCGAAAAGTGTTTTTGCCCAAAGTAAAGCAGATGACAAGTGATTACTTTCCATTTTACAGCGAAAAATCGATTTAAAATCAAATCATAAATCGCAAAGTTCAAGCATAAAATGGATGAACCCCTAGCCAAAAGCAATACCAACGCAAATACAACAGCAACAACAACAGCAACAACATCAGTAGAGAACAACAACAACAACGTTCTCGAAACACCGCCAAAAGTAAACGCATTCTTCAGCAGCAGCTCAAACTATCAGAGCCGGGTGCAGCAGCTGATCAGCTTCAGTTTCACCTCGTCGTTCCATCTGATCTTTATCACATGCATCCTGAGCATCAGTAAATTTTGTAATGCCGCCGCCGTGAATGCAGCTCAGGTGACCGCATCAGCGCCCAGTCCAAGTATAATTATCTCAAACCTAAGCGGTTCGGCGCTGCTGGAGAAGATTATAAAGACCACAACCCTGGGACCGCAATTGGATAAGCTAAAAAGTTTTGCACCCGCCGCAGCGAATAGCATAAGTGCGACTAGTACCTCGTCCTTCTTCAATAGCAAGGGCCTCAATTTGGAATTCAAGTTCCAGAATGTGTCGGGCAAAGTAAACACGCCGTTGGATATATGTAAGTAGCACCCGCATTTGGGTTACTAACACTAAAAATAGTTCAAACCTGCGCAAATCTCGCTTAATTGCGTATAACTGCATTAGTATTAGTGCGCTTTTACGAAAATAAGCTCTTTTGCATCGCCTGACATCAATTTGAGCTTTAAGCTTCAAGTCTGCGCTGTCTGTGTGTGGCGTGCGTGTAGCGCGACGTGCCAGCATTTGTTGTTAGGTTTCGCATTTCCATTCGATCAGACCACCAGACTAACAGACCAACAGACCTCCAATTTCCAAATGTTTATTTATTTATGCGAATCGCTTTTCGGAAAAACATTCGCTAACGTCTCACGCTGCATATCGTCAGCGATTCCCTGTTATAGCCATGCCCCAACACATTCCACAACGTCACACATTTTTTTACCTTTTACTTTCCTAAGCCGCTCGCTCCGTGCGCCTCTCTTAATTTGCCTCTTCGCCGTTTCCCCATTATATGTTTCTTCCTCTTCGTCTTCTTCTGCTGCCGGCCGGCATCTGGCTGCAGAGAGCATAGACCCCATGGCTGCTGGGGAGAGCAACAAGTGTTTCAGTTTCTTTTTCTTCTGCTTAGTTTGCCTTCTTTTTTTTTTCGTTTGGAGTTGCTGCTCTTCGTCTTTCGCTCCGCACAGTGGTGTGTGTGTGAGCGGCAATGCGAAGTGAAGTGCGGTGCACGTGTTGAAAACCAAAGCCAAAGTTATGCCACGGTACAAGACGAGCTCACGAAATTGGAACCAGTTTGGCTGTATAAATATTTATAAGGATTTATAGCTGCCTTAGAATCAGGTGCATCAGTTGGGAACTTCAAGTATGTGAAGTATATTAAGTAGCAGAAATCTAAGACACAGTTATGATGTGCACAAGCTAATAACATATGATTAGCTTTGGTGTACAGAAGCTTATATAGAAACAGAAAACTTTATTCTATTATAAAGCATATGATATAAAAAAGGGTAAAGGATTCTGTGTTAAGGACTGTATAAGTTTTCTTAAGCTGGATTCTTTTAATAATTTATGCTACAGTATTTATGTAAAAGTCAGTACTTTAACTTTAGGCTTAAGTTATTGAAAATTTAAAAAAGTTTTTAAACAATCCATCTTTAATCTATCCATCTATCAATCTGCCAGTCATTTCGATGGGCACACTAAATTATATACACGTTTGTGTTGTCAAGGGTATTTAATCTTCGGCATTCCAAAGATATATACTCTTTCGGAAATCAATTAAGAAACAACTTGGTTCACAAAAAACTGCAAATAGTTATTAAAAACTGACAGCTGTTATTGAAATCCGTTAAAAGACTAATGAACAACTTAACCTTAATACAGTCAAACATCGACTTACTGCGATTTCGCTTCATTATTAATATTCGCAAGAAACCGCCCCTCCCCCCTTACCCAAAAATAAAAACAAGCCTTCAGCCAGTTTCAAGCGCAAATCAAAAAGTTTAATATTTATAACAATAAAGCAGTGCAAAAGGTTAAAATAAAAAGCTTTAGCAAGAGACGGTCACTGGGTTAAATTTGAGGGTCTAATAGTCAAAAATTCGTAACATCCACCAATTGTGGCGAAATTTGAGACCTGTTCAAACTTGTTCAATAATTTACATGCCACATTTGCAATCGAAATGCATTTACGCTTTTGCTTGACAGTTGGCCATAATAAAACAAATTACGCTCACCTAAATATGGTCGGACAAAGGGGTAAACGGGCCAAGTGCTTTTGAGGTCTGGCCAAATGTCAATTCAGACAATTGGCAACAATTGCGAAACAGGTAATAGGTCAAAGTGTTAGCTGAGCTAAAACCTGGCTGAAGGTACTCTAATTTTGCCATGAAATGTGCTAAGTCAAGGCTGCCGAGTCCATGAGATATATAGAGGCTTGATCGGACTGATCAGCTGTGGCTTTATACACGTTATATAAAAATTATATCAAGTATATTGAGAAACATGGTCTAAAGAATGTCTAAATGCCGCGTCAGATCTTCATATCAGTCGAAACTTGAGTTTTTACATGAAATATTTTTATGATTTTTAAGAGAGTGTAGCACAACTGAAGAATAACCAAATTTATATATTAAGTTTATATTATATAGAGCCAATTTTTACAATTGTTCGAAAGTTGAGCCCTGGTATGAAAACTTGTTTTTTTTTCACAGATAATTTGAACAATTTTGGCAATTAAGAGATTTACTTTTAGCTAGATTGTTAGCAAAATCTTAGGAAAACCTTGTTATATACAACAAATTTAGATTTATCCCAACCAAACTTATTATCTAAAAGCTGAACAATCGATCAATAAAATTTAAAACAAGGAACTGTTTCGTTGGAAAGGTGCTAAAATATAGTTTATTTTATTATTTAAAAATTGAATAAATAGAGCATTAAATCGGCTGCAAGGTCCAAGTGTATCCTTGCTAGTTGTTAATTATTTTTACAATAACGACAGCTCGAGGCAAATTATTTAGCCATTTCTTCGTTGTAGCAAAAGTTTACAAAACATTTTTGGCCACTTTCAGCATCAGCTGAAACTGTCGTCCAACTGGTAATTGGCAACAGAAAATTGTCAACTGGTAATCTGGTAGCTCTCAAATTGGGAATCGCAAACGCAATCGAAGTTCTCGGCACGTTTCATGACGGCCAAATGAACGTCAGCTACAGATTCAGAGACCATAACGAAAGCTGCACGCATGTTGGACAGTGTAGGGGTATATGGATTCGGATTCGGAGGGGCAGCCGGAGACAGCGTTGATTTATTTTAAAATCGAAATTAAACAAGTTTTTGGGGCCGGCATCATCATAAAAACTGTCGCAACTGGGCAAGGAGCAGAAGCAGAAGCAGACAGAATCTGGACTGAGAACTTGTCGTCCTCGTCCAGACTTTTGTAATTAACTTGGCTAATTATGCTCAAAAATGTGCACGTGCTGTGGGCCACCAATTTCAGACTGTACAGGCAGAGCAGGCTATATATAACATACTTGTATATACTCGGCGCATTTTATGCATTTCCGTTTTGGCTTAATTACAAAACTCATTTTACCTTATGCATAATTATGAGCAAATAAACTGGTTACCAACTAAAAAATGAGAAAAAAAACAACTTTCAGATGAAACCAAAAAAGTGTAACAACAACCTGCAATTGTTTGTATATTACAGCCACAGTTATTCAGGCACACTCACACTCACACTCAGACCTTAACAAGTCTGTCTTTCATAACTGACAGCACATACAAAGCAACAACAATAAAATCATCTCAACTCAAAGATTTCAATGTTAAACACCTCGTAAGAAAAGTTTTTGGTACTCAAATTGCAACTTGTAATATGCCACTTATTAGCATTAATTATGGAATAGGGGGAAAGACAGAGTTTTGTTTAACAACTATATGGAAAGAGATGAAAGCCCTTGGGCTTAAGTTTGCCGCATCACTTAGTAAACTGACAATTGATAAGCTAGGATCATCAGTTTTTGCTACATGAGTTGCCTAAGCGAACCACTGAGCAACGAAGTCCTTGGTTCGAATCCCAGACTATTGACCGAAGGTAAAACCACTAATCAACAAAGTCGCTGGTTCGAATTCCACATTAGCACTTGGATGCTTTAATGCCCGCAGGACACAATAGTCAGCATTCAAAAATATATAAGTATAAAATGCCAGCTCTCGCTAGATGAATTGTCTAAGCGAACCACTAAACAACGAAGTCGCTAGTTCAAATCCCAGACTAGCGCTTAGATACTATAATGGTACCTTAGGTACCTTACCTTGAATACATATAATTGCACAGCCAGCAAAGCTGGCTAAACAGTTATTTTAAAGTCAATTAGCCAGGTGAGTAGCAGGCAGAACGTTGGCTCGCATCCCACGTATAGTGTATAAATGTTTTTAGCTTTCGACCAAATGCAATTGGGAAAGTTACTTTGGCAGTTGTGAATGATTTAACCCGTTTTCTGGCATAAGCTGTTGTCAGCACATTAAGATTTATTTATAAGCCGAATCCATTAAAAATTATTGAGAAATTGAACGTAAACTTTGCTGTCAAAATGACTGAAATTCACGCAGCCAGGCAGAGGATTATTTTAAGCATTACTAAATGCTCCACTTGACATATGCCTGATATATTCAGGCTGCCTCTCTTACATATCCTCTCTTGCCACGCATCTTTGCTATTTGGGAATATGTAAATTTAAGGCCAGAGTGAATCACTTCTTCAGGGCTCGTATACGCTTTGTTTTAGCCAAGTTAACTCACATAATAGCCACAACTATCAACGAAAACAAGTTCTTATCCTTATCTTATCCAATAACAAAAACTATATACTATATACGATATACCTTCAATGTGACGAGCATTTTTATGGACCCTTTGCAATCTCAGTTTAGCGATAAAACGTAGTAAAACTCATTGAAAATACAAATCTAATCGTATGTCTAATTGGAAATCCACACGTATGCTCATTCTAGTATTGTAATTATGTGTATAAATACGTATTCACATGCAAATTGCGCATACGCCACGTATGCAGTGGAAATGGTTTAGTGAAGAAATAGAAAAAATGGCGTGATTTTTTTTTGTTGGCCTGGCTTTTTTTTGGCAAGTGTATTTCGAAACATGCTCATGACTTGACAACATTGTTTACAAACAAGCAACAACAATGCGCAAATAGCCATAGATACATGTGTGTGTATTAATGCATACTAATTGTATTTTTAATTAGAAAACGAAATGCTCTACAGTGAGAGGCGTTCGCCTGTGACGTAGTCGGGTAATTCAATTCAAATCGAAAACAAACAAGTATTTGATCATCATTCATCAAGAGAAACAAATGTAAATAATGTTCGCTGATTCATACATTTGGCTCTCAAAAAAAAAAAGGCAACAACATGTGAGCCAACTGTTTATTATTATTGTGTTATTCGATTTCCTTAGCTGTTGCTGTTTTGCGTGACGTCACCAAAGATCAGGCCACCTTTTTTCCAAACAAC